ACTTAGAAAGCAACAAAGAAACACTAAGAATGATCAAGAGAAGGAAGCAAGACTTGATGAATTTGGTGGAGAAGCTGCTGGAATTTATAGTTGTGCAGAATTGGTTAGGTAGGTCCTAAAACGCTGGTGGATCACCCATTTCCAACTYCTTTGACTGACCAAATCATGCYCAAACTGATAGTRGAAYACTTCTTCTACACGTATGCATCGGTTGGAACCACCAAAAYGMACTGGAAGACRCGTTTCATTAAGGGCAAAGTTGGAAGAAAACCACGTTTTCTGCAGCAGCCTAGGCGCCTGGCGCCTCCTGARGTATTTTTCCGTCTTTTTGCTTCTTTTGATTAATTTCCACTCCCAAATGGTCCTAAAATGTCATAAATACAATATAAGCCAACCACAAACCATCATATATGAATTTTGCATGAATTGGAACTCAAATGACCTAGAAAAGTCCGAAGCAAAGCTAAAACATAGTAAAAATAGCATCTAAAACCTTCTTTTTACGCATGTAAACAAGCGTAATCACACCCCCAAACTTAACTTTTTGCTTGTCCTCAAGCAAAACTTAGCAACTTTAATCAGCTTTCTAACACATGGACAAGGTAAAGCAAAAGCAGTCGAGATGTTCAATCATAAATTGTCTCAGGGAAAAGATGTCAAAGCCTACCATTCTATTGCCTTTGTAAGCTGAGTCACTATAAACCAAGTTTCAAATGATAAAAACTTTCTCTTTCAAAATCATTTTTCCTTTCAAAAACAGAAAACGTTTTCAAATACCCCTAAGGAATCTGCACACTCCCTTTTTACATTGAGACTTTTACATCTGAAAGACCGGCTACTAGCCCCTGAGGTTTCCACACACTAACATCGGTTTCAACCACAGCTACTCGTAGAAAGACTTTGAATCTAACAGCTAGGTCATAAGACGACGACAATGAGAAACACGAAGTCACTTATCACCATCCTTACTGCTATTTTCAAAGTCAACACCCAACCTAAAACTAAATGGGTGTCTACAGTAGGACTCGGAAATCATAAATACATTTTCTTTAACTCTCATTGTTTTTACCACTCTTTTCTTTCTAACACAAGTATTTTCCCCACTCTTATTTTCTCTCAACAAGACTCTTTTTACTCTTTTGCAACTTTTGTTTTGTTTTTTTTTTGAGCTAAGTGCTTTTCAACACTTTCTTTCTTTTCAACTGACTCTTTTTCAAAAGAAAATAGCATGATTTTTCAAATATAAATAACACTTTATCTTTCTGAAACAATAACTGACACAACGACTGTCCCCCCCAAACTTAAGAGAGACAATATCCTCACTGGGAAAAGACTTGTGCATCTGATGAAAAAGGCTTAACAGTAAAAAGGACAAGGACTTCCTATATAGGGGCAAAGAAAAAGCTTAAAGTCTGTAAAGATCAAAAAGACAGAAAAGAAAATGAGTTTATCACATAAACGAAGGAAATAACTCAAAGCTTAGTCAGGCATAGAACAGAAAACTCAACAATCTCTTAGAATCATCATTGACATGAAATCACATGCACAACACAGATGCTTCAAAGTAGGCATGTGAAAAAGCTAAACTAAGGTTAAGTGAAGGCATACTTTAAGTGATCAGAAGATAAACGATACTAATTTATGCATGCTTCAACTGAGCTCGAAACATAATCAATACAAAAAACATGCGTAGTAAGGCTAGAATATGCACACCTTGTCGCAAGCATAAAGAAGTGACCAAGCGTGGGTGATAAATCTTACCACGTGTCCGGTGGGCACACTCATGGATACTGGTATTGATCAATTCTCCATAATTCACATCTATGCCCTATAGCATGGCATAAACCAGCAGGACCCTATCCTGAGTGACATGCTCATCATGCTCCGTTGGCAGAATTCTGTTTTTGACTATATATAACCATTCTGCAGCAGCTAGTGAAACATCCTTGGGTTTTAGTCGCACCTTGCCATAACTAGTCAAATCCCAAGTGACAGAGGGCTTCCCAACACATTCTAGAGCCTCACCGAGCTGTTCTAGAGTCGAAGTCACTAACATCTTATTTCCCACAGCATCTCTGATATTCTCAATGTTGAAGGTGTAGTTGATCTGAGTGGCATCAAACCTTATTTCCTTCCCACGCACTACGGCTATATGTGCTGGGGATGAACAGCAGCATAGAACTCTCTGACTAACTCCAAAGCCTCACATTGTACGGGCTGAATGAGTGGTCTCCATTCTTTATCTCTAGCGGTCTCCCTCCAATCGTCAGGCACATCTCCTAGATTGAGATCGAATCCCAATTTTGTCATAATCTTACGGGATGTCATTAATGAAGTTCGAGTGGCTAAATTCGCCGCGTTCCATTTCGTCTCAACCTCCTCTCCCTCATTCAAGTCTAGTTCGATTGTATCAACTGGCCCAGGTGCCACTACCTTCTTCTTAGCTTCAGCTACTTTAGCTTTCGCAGCTCTCATTTTAGGTTCATTCATGGGCACTGTCGGCTTCTTAGTCTGAACTGCACGACGTTTTGAACTCTTTTTCTCCCGYCTCTTGTATTGGAACATTTCSCTTAACRTCTGCGTGTCCTCAGGATCWTCKTCTCWGGTAGGTTCTTGAGTACTATTCTCCCCAACCTTGGATCTACCTGTATCACACCCAAGCGGGTTAACTGCATTAGAAGGAATAGCGTGAGCATCCCTTACCCCTGGTAGAGTGGCCATCGGTGTGACATACTCATCCGTTGCCAATGGAGTAGATCCAGTTCCCCCAGTAGGCAACGTTTGGTGACTAAAAAATGCTCCTTCTGTAGGTGTATCCAATGGGGAAGGTTCCTGAGTATCTTTTCTTACCACTTCGTTTTCGGTATCCTCCGAACTGGCATATTTGAACAATCGCCTCATGAAACCAGTAGGAAATCATCATTACCATCTCCAGGTGTAATAATCAGCGGAGACGAATAAAACTGCTCCTCATCTCTGTTCTCCATAGCTGAATCCTTAGGCGTTAGACGCCTACTACTCCCATCTTTCTCAGTTTCTGGGTCCGTCAGCACCTCCTTGCCCTTCCTCTTTTGCCCTATCGAGACCTCGGGCTCTAGCCTCTGGTTATGGCTCTTCTCTTGCTCTCCTCCATGCTCAACTCCTGTATCCTGTAAAGCATAACTCAACCGAACTCACGTCCGACAAGTTAGTACACGATTAAAAACATACTAGAATTTAAAGGGACAAAATTCAACATGTGTTACCATCGGCAGATTGGCTGGGATTGGCATCATAGGAGGCTCTAAGGGTTTTAGTTGTCCCATGTTGAAGGTACTCAATATGTTAGGGTTCAATTGGGGTGCTTGAGGTCCTCTTTCTAGGAATGGAAGTTGAGGTGGTGGGGGAACCCTAGGTGAAATCATCCCATAATTTTGTGGAGGTACCCAATTACCCATTCTATAATAAGGTGGAAGGCTAGGAAATAGAGTAGATGGGTTAGGCATTCCATAAGGATGAACACTAGCTGGAATTTGCATTTGGGACAAGGGAAAATGATAGGGAGGAACCGGGTTAAACAGAAATGGTTGGTACATACCCGGATTGATCATTGGAGGAGGTTGTTGAGGATGTTCAGCCCTAAACTCACTGTTTTGAGGTATATTAAGGATGGGTAGTTGCTGAAAATTAACATAACCATGTGGGCTCATCATAGGATGTTGTGTAGGAGCTTGGGAAGGAGGAAATTCAAATGTTTGAAGCGGGTTTCCTCCCCTAACAGCAGCTAGCCGAAAATCTGGAACCATGTGGTGTTGGAAGTTCTCCAATGGTGGAAAGGGAATGCTTGTGGCATTTGGAGCTTGAGTAGAAGAGGTAGGGAGTGAAGTATGTTGAGAGGAAGAAGAAATAGAAGTAAGAAAATGCTAGAAATTTCTTCTTCTTCTTGGTGATGGCTGAAAATCGAAAACAAGGGTGACGAGGGAGTGTGTTTTTTCAAAAAACAAAGGGGAGGAAGAGAGTTGTGTGGGTTTTTGTTGAGGTGTAAGGCTTAGGCAATGGGTCTATTTAAAGCTTTCCCCAAACTAAATTCTAAATGGAAAGAGATTGAGTTATAAGTTCAAACTAGGTTTCCTAAACCTAAAAGGAAAAAATAAGTTTGAATTCCAAATAGGATTAGGGAAACAAAATTTGAAGTATTTTTAAGGAGAGATGTGAAACTTAAATCACAAAGGATTAATGTTTGACCCAAAATAAAACCTATAAAATTCGAAAATGAAACCCAAACCACGAAGGAAAAAGATTTTTCGAAATGCTGGAAAAAATAGGGCAGGCGCCAGGCGCCTGCGTAATTTTTTTTTTTTCTTCACTCTTCTCCATCCTACATCAAGACTATCGTGCTTAAAATATACTCACTCTCGTGCTTCAAAATTAGAAACTACCTATAAAAACAAAAAAAACATTAAGAAAACAAAAATCGTAAACTAGCTCTCTCATTTTTTTCTTTTTTTTTTCAATGTTTTCAAGAACATTCTCTTAATAAGCAAAACTTTTTATGATTAAACAAAAAGAATGTAAGAAGTAAAAACTTTCTTCCTTTACCTTTGTTCTTTCAAAACGGATAAGAAGGAAAAACATTTTTCGCAAAAAATTATTGTCCTAAAAGTTGAATAGAGGTTTTTCCTCTATCCACTGGTTCTCCAAAATATGGCTTAAGTCTCTGCCCATTTACTTTAAAAATACTTCCCTTAGAGTCAACTAGATCCACTGCCCCATATGGGTAGACTTTAAAAATTTTAAAGGGACCAGACCATCTAGCCTTAAGTTTCCCAGGAAAAAGTTTCAACCTAGAATTGAATAACAGAACCAGATCACCTTCTTGAAGATTGTTCGGCCGAAGACGCCTATCATGCCACTGTTTAGTTTTTTCCTTAAACAGCTTAGCATTCTCATAAGAAAATTGCCTGTGTTCTTCTAATTCCAACAATTGTAACGTCCTCGCTTCACCTGCAGCCGACAAATCAAAATTTAATTTCTTAGTAGCCCAAAATGCTTTATATTCTAGCTCAAGAGGCAAATGACATGCTTTTCCAAAGACTAGCCTATAGGGGGACATGCCGAGGGGAGTCTTAAATGCTGTCCTATATGCCCAAAGTGAATCATCAAGCTTCAAAGACCAATCCCTACGGTTAAGATTTACAGTTTTTTCTAAAATGTTTTTTACCTCCCTATTAGATATTTCGGCTAACCCATTCGACTGAGGATGATATGCTGTTGCAACCCTATGATGCACATTGTATTTAGCCAGCAACTTATGCATAGACCTATTCACAAAATGAGCCTCCCCATCGCTTATCAGACAACGCGGGGTTCCATAACCCGTAAAAATGTACTTTTGCAGAAAACGAATGACAACTTTAGAATCATTGGTAGCAGTTGCAATGGCTTCTATCCATTTCGAAACATAATCTACTGCTAACAATATATAAAGCTTACCATTAGAAGATGGAAATGGACCCATAAAATCTATACCCCACACATCAAATATTTCAATCWCMAGGATCGRGGTTTGAGGCATTTCGTGGYGTTTAGATATATTACCTGTCCGTTGGCATTTGTCACAAACCTGGGCAAACTTATGTGCATCTTTGAACAGAGTGGGCCAAAAGAACCCACTTTGCAAAACTTTGGYTGCGGTTTTGTGTCCTGCAAAATGTCCTCCATATGGAGACATATGACAAACGTCTAATATCGCCTCGTGCTCTTCTTCTGCTACACACCTGCGTAAGATATTGTCAGGTCCTAGCTTATATAAAAAAGGTTCATCCCAACGATAAAATCGAACTTCATTTAGAAATTTCTTTACCTGTTGCTTGTTAAACTCATAAGGAACTATTCGACTTACTAAAAAATTTGCTATATCGGCATACCACGGAACTGAATCAACTCGCAAGAGTTGCTCGTCAATAAACTGTTCACATATAACAGTTCCATCATCACAGAGCGGGGATTCCAATCWAGACAGGTGATCAGCAACTTGGTTTTCAGTACCCTTCCTGTCCCTAACTTCAATATCAAACTCTTGAAGTAACAAAATCCACCGTATCAAACGTGGTTTMGCATCTTTTTTAGCAAATAAATATTTTAAAGCAGAATGGTCAGTAAAAACAATGACTTTTGTGCCTATCAAGTAAGWCCTAAACTTATCAAAGGYGAACACAACTGCTAACAGTTCCTTTTCAGTAGTAGTGTAATTGAGTTGTGCACCGGTCAGAGTCTTACTAGCATAATATACAGGATGMAAGATCTTGTTTTTACGTTGTCCTAACATAGCTCCTATTGCATAATCACTAGCATYACACATGAGYTCGAAAGGTAAATCCCAATTAGRTTCGATAATTATAGGRGCTGAACTTAAAGCAACTTTCAACATTTCAAAYGAKTTTAAACAGTCATCAYAAAAAACAAATGRTYTATCATGTTCTAACAATTGACRCAARGGTTTAGAAATTTTAGCAAAGTCTTTTATAAAGCGGCGGTAAAATCCCCCATGCCCTAAAAAACTTCTAATCCCTTTAACATTCGTGGGAGGAGGTAGCTTTGAAATGATGTCTATCTTAGCGTGGTCTACCTCTATTCCTTGCTTGGAAATTTTGTGACCCAAAACAATACCCTYTTGTACCATGAAATGACACTTCTCCCAATTTAGGACTAGGTTTGTTTGTTCACATCTCTCGAATACTCTCTCCAAATTAACTAAACATGCGTCAAAAGAATTTCCAAAAACAGAAAAGTCATCCATAAAAACTTCTAGAATATTTTCTACCATGTCAGAGAAGATGGCCATCATACACCTCTGAAAAGTCGCGGGTGCATTRCATAATYCAAWRGGCATTMGCCTGAAAGCGAACGTACCATACGGACACGTAAATGTTGTCTTCTCCTGGTCTTCTGGAGCAATAGTAATTYGATTATAACCCGAATATCCATCTAAGAAACAATAGAAATCCTTACCTGCTAGACGGTCGAGCATCTGGTCAATAAACGGTAGAGGAAAATGGTCTTTCTTCGTTACCTTGTTGAGTTTGCGATAGTCAATGCAAACTCTCCACCCACTCATAGTTCGGGTTGAGATGAGCTCATTCTCCTCGTTGGACACTACAGTTATACCCCTTTCTTTGGTACACACTGTACTGGGCTTACCCAGCTGCTGTCGGATATTGGGTATATAACACCAGCGTCAAGCCATTTAAGAATTTCTTTCCTTACAACCTCTTTCATCTTCGGGTTCAACCGCCTTTGATTCTCAATAGTGTTCTTAGCATCTTCTTCCAATAAGATTTTGTGCATGCAAAAGGCCGGGCTTATCCCTCGGATATCTACTATCGTTCATCCAATGGCCATTTTGTGCTTCTCCAAAATCTGCAATAAAGAATATTCATTAGTAGGTGATAAATTGGAAGCTATAATAACTGGTAAAGTGTCGTTATCCCTTAGATACGCATATTT